TGCTAAACCAATCTTAATTTCAGCCGCAACAAATGATGCATGATAATTGTCCATCTTAAGTGAATCTTCTATTAAGGTCAGAGTAGGTTGTTTTTCTCATTGAGAGAGCCCTGAAGAAATTAAATAAGCCTTACTTAGCAAGAACGATAATCCCCTTTGTGTATAAATATACACAGCCTCCCTCCTAGAGGAAGCCTTTCCTTTAATATTGGTTTATAGAAAATCTTGAAGGAAAAATCTTTTCTGCTGCCCGCAAGGGAATAAGGAAATGAAATCAAGGCATAACCTCCTGATCTTTAAGTGACTGTTAAAAAATCAGCATTGTGAACTGCTTAGGCTTATTACTGATGGACACATTTGGAACTGTGCTTAAGCAAGTTACTACACATTTAACATCCTCACATTCTTTTATTCATGGTGAACCTTTTCATGGGTAAAACAGGAGAAATACTATAGGTAGAAATGGGGTGTGGTAGTAATAAACTTAACTGCAGCCTTTGTACCCTGTTCACATTGTGTGTGCAATATTGAACAGATGTGTGGCTCTAATAAACACAGCTTTTGTGTTTCAATAATAGGAGTGGTTTCCTTTTCTTTCTGCTGCGGATGAATATAGGAGCCTGGCTTGTTGGCATTGTAGAAGTTTTTATTGCTGTTGTTGGCTTTAATCCAGAACTTGTCAGGCATGTCAGATTTTGAGGGAATGTTCGGATAATTGAGATTTTCTAGCATTTTCCCATTCCGCCCTTTTAACATGAACTTACATTTATAAGCTAACAAACCCTGGTTTCTGATCCTGGTTTCTGATCCTGGTTTGTAAAGCATGTGGAAACCAGGATCCTGGATTTAGACAATATGCAATGCAGGCTGTTTCTGGTTTATCTACTTACTCTAGCTAGAGAGCCAAGTGAGAGCACATGTACTACTATGTAGCTTCTTCATAGCCAGGATTTGTTAGAAAATGCTGGATGGCTATTTTGTCTGTACGTGGCCTATGGTGGTTTTCCCAACGTGTGTGGAGTGTTAGACCTCTTTGAACAAAATAGGCATAAAGATAAGTGCCAGAAAATGAGAAATTATTAGTGTCAATACTTTATGAGATAAATTAAACAGAATATTTGTGCTGTACATTTGTTTGCTTAATATGCTTGAGTTCATGGGGATGTTCATGAATTCTTAACTCCAGCATCAAATAACACCTAATATAATGTTCTCATAAGATTATAGATACTTTTGCACCAAAAATGGAGCAATTTCAAAAAGATGGCAATATTCTAAAAATACTATTTATTTATTTCAGTGCCATTTTGCCCAGTTGCTGAAGTTCTCTGGGCAGTTAACAAGGTATACAAAATAATAATATATAATACAGAATACAAATACAAGGGCAACAGCGTAAAATTCTCTGCAAAATTTAAAACAAATCAAAACCCTTTGAGCTATTAAAACATTAAGTAGTCCTGATAAGAGAGGAAAAGGCTGACTTATGCTATCCCCTTATGCCATGAAAAGCCATTAAATGCTATTAAATGTCTTGGGGCCAGTGTTCATTTACTGGAGCTAGGCAGGCTTCAGTGAGGCACTTGTTCCATAACTGGGGGACTTTCACAGGGAAGGAGACAACAAAGGTACGGTTCTGTATGATTTGCTCCTTCAGCTCTGATCGCCCTTTGGCTGCTTGCTATAGGGTTTTCTTTGTCCTTTTAGTGACTTCACACTTGCTGCCTCTTAATTACTTCTGTTTTCTCCCAGAACATCTGCATTATCTTACTCCATATTTTTGGACTCGAGCCCACAATTTTCCTGACCACTGGCTGTGCTGGCTGGGGCTGATGGGAATTGTAGTTCAAAACATTTGGAGGATATCATGATGAGAGACGCTGAGCTACACAATGCTAGCTTTCTTCTTTTAAAATCTTCTACCCTTTCCATGAGCTTTTGGCCTAACAGCCATTCTCTAAAGATTCTAAGCTTAATTGGAATATCGAGGTTTATTCATGCATATTATTGGCATATTACCATTACCTTTGCTCCCTCTCCATTTCTAGATGGAAAAATTCAGCTCATAGGAGCAGAGTCTTGACTTTTTGCTTACATGACTCTGTCAAACCTTTGATTGATCGAATGCTTTAACTCCAAGCTGCACAGTAGCTGACCAATATGTTATTGCTGTTTCTTGAAGATGTGTAGAACTTGAAAATTTGCTTTCTGGACACTCTGTTTTAGATTTACTTTTTGTAAAGAGGGGAAGTTAAGCCTAGACTTAACTATATTAACTAGGTTTAATTAGGCTAGCTAAGCCTAGCTGAAAATGGTACAGTAGGATTTAAAGTGTCAGACACAGAGAGGCTGAGTTTATTAGAGATAGAAAATACTTTGTGGTTGCACATGTGGGTTGTGCTGTAGATGCATCTGTTTAACATGTTAAATTTTATGCATCTTATGTCAAATGATAAATGGTGTGAGAAATCTGTGATCCAGTCGCCTGATACATGGCTTGGGGTTGCAGTATCTAATGGAGTGGCTCTCCCAGCCTGAATCTATCCAGACACTATGATTAACATCTGAGGTCTTCCTTTTAGTGCCATCTATGTGTGGGGCCTGGAGGAACGCAATAAGGGGATGGGGGTCTTCTCAATGGTGACCCTCTGATTATGGGAATGTCTGAGGCCAACTTTGGTGCCAATTAGGACTGCTCTCTTCCCTGGAGCATTCAATGGCATGGGTTGGGGGCTTCTATGTCATTTCAGCTGTATAAAAACAGTGTTAGCTGGCCAAAATGTTTTAACTTTTGTATATTGAAATACCAAGCTATTTTATTGTGTGATGGTTTGTGTTTCTTATTGTATTGCTGTGAACTGCCCAGATAATTTAGCAATTGGTTGATACAGAAATGAAATAAAAACATATATATTTTATTTAAAAAATCTAGCTATGTGATGGTGTTTGAACTGGTTTGGGGAACAACAAACCAAGGGACAACCCCCTTTCCCAAGCTGTTTCTTCAATCAAAACTGACCTGTTCGACCCAGTGTTTTTCCAACTAGGGTAAACAAGACAGGTACATACACCATGGTAGTGTGTGTTTCTGCTGGGAAGCTCATATCGACAGCTCTGTTTTCTAGATTTAAGTAGTTATTTTCTCCCCACTCCATTATTTTTCTCAAGATAGGAGCCTCCTCCTCAGGATGCAGTAAGGTAAACCTCAGAAAAGTCATGCTGGGTCAGGCCAGGGTTCTGTCTAGCCCACCATTTTGTTCACAGAGTGTCCAACCAGCTGCCTGTGAGGAAATCCACAAGTAGGGATGAGTGCAAGAGTACCCTCTTGGCCATGTTCCTCTGCAACCAATGTATACAAAGGCATACTGCCTCTGATATTGGAGGGAGCATATAACCATTAGGACTAGAGAGCTTTCTCTTCTGTGATTTTCCTCCTAAATATTACCAAGATATGCAGTGACTGGACTACAATTATTTTTCTCATGGTCCAGAGGTCTAAACCCTCTACTTTCAGAGGGGCTGAGGGTTACCGTTTGAGGAAGATTTGATACTGGAACCATTCCTAGACAGCTCCTCTCATGGGAGGGGAGTCCCAGAAGGCACTGAAGTTTTCATTTGCATGGCCTGCAGTAGCTCTGATCCCATCCTCAGCTCCTAGAATATTTATTTAGAAATCCCAGCTGTGGGTATTTTCTACTACAATATCTTCAGGAATTCCAGGATCAACTCCAGCTCTGCAAAAGTGAGCACTTGCAGTACAGGACACTGATAATTTAAGTGCCAACAGTGTCTTCTGAAGATGTGGAGCCAGAAAGTATAATCTTGACAGCAGGACTAATTAAGTCTCCAGATGGCTAAGAACATGGAGCAACAGCCTATTTATGCTGCTGTTACGTGTCCTGTATTCATCCTGAATATACCCAGCTCCACAGTGAGCTGACCAAGTTACTACTCTCCTGCTGAGCCCCATCAGTACCTTCTGTTTCCTCAGTCTGGAGTGGAATAGTTTCTGCCAATCTTGTGGTGTTCCTTCTCTCCGTGGCTAAAATACCTAGCATAGCTTTCTACGCTGGTTCTATTGGTTATGTAAATGTTTCCACAGCAGCGCAGGGTGTTCTCAGAAGTATCATCACCTGAATTTGGAACTCCTTGGGCAATCTATAAGACTCTAGAGGATTCACATAGTTAACTGCAGCTATAGCTGAAGTAAGAGACTTTGTACGGGGATATGGTAAGGCAAGAGACATCTGGCCTTCTAGGTCTTTTAGGATTGCAACTCTCTTCAGCTCTAACCAGAATAGTCAATAGTAAGGGATTCCAGATGTTGCATTGCAACAGCATCTAGCATGCCACAAATTCCCCATTTCTTTGGTAAGTTTTAAACATGTAGAGGGAAAACTTTCTCGGAAAAATAATTTACTACTGTGTAAAGTGACATATTTTAGAGACATTATGCTGACTTGAAAACATTTTTCTTGCAGTCCTGCATAATGTGTGTTTGAAATAACATAAAATTGACATGGATTACATTTTTAAATAGGCTTACTTAATATAAGATCATATGTGAGCTTATTAAAGGAGAATGTGTTTTGGGGACTGTGAAGTAAATATGAGTCAAACATGCTAAAACAGATAACAAGATTTAGAGTACTGGAAAACTTTCTGGTTCCACTTTTCCTGGAAAACCCATGTTACTGGTGCTTACCTATTTAATATTTTGGAAAATAGATTTCATTTGCTTTACTACATTCTCCAAAATTTGCAGTTGAAATTGATGATACTCTTTCCGTAACTGAGAAGCTAACAAGACCCTGCTGTGATGTGGCTGTACCATATACAAGATCTGTTTTTAACCTTATTCAGTTTTCCAGTAAAGTATATGCAGTATTAATATTGCTCTACCCTAGGCTACATTATCTTAGGAATGAATTAGTTGGCTTTCACTATGTTTGTGTCTGAAGCCCATATTACATATGCTTCTTCATTTCTTTTAAATTTAGAAATTAGTCAAACTGATGAAAACAGCAATGAGGAATCAGAAGGACAAGGAGCTCAGAAGGATGACTGTGATGCACAGGTACAAAGAGATTAAAGTTAAGGTTGTTGAATCTTCTTTTTAATATGCCACTTGGTTTTGAAAAGAAAGATGTAATGCAACTAAACATGATAAGCAATTATTTGATTCTGACTGTTGATGCTGAGTTTTCTGCAATCTGATGATTGAATTTTTTGTGAGATCTACTCACTGCACTCTGATACAAGGTTTGATTTCTGAAATTGAGTGGTGTAGAGGTAGGATATTCAATTGATTTTTCTGCCTTGAATGTGGGCATAACTGCTTTTCTCAGATTCCATGGTGATAGTCAGTCATGTATTGGTGACAATTACTAAACATTTTGTGTAACCACTTTTCTTAATAGAATTTGGCTTCACTGTTTGTTTGTTTGTTTTTGGTCTCTTGTACACATAATATAACAGATTCTTATAGCACCTTAAGGGCTAACAGATGTATTTTGATAGGAGTTTTCATGGACTAGAGCCCGCTTCGTTAGATGCATTAAATGGTATCCTCAGTTCCTCCATCCCAACCCCTAGCCCCACACAAATGCACATGCTGCACACAAACACACACACAGAGCAAAATGTAAAAATGTGGCGTCAGATGTTCATGAAATGTTTGGTTATAACACTGGCACAGATTTCTTTGTAGGAGTCAAATGTATATAAGTTAAGAATAGTGCTAGCTATTCACATCAGAAATCACTAGGACAATACCCTGCTAATATAACACATAATAGAAAAGATATCCACAGTCCCGATTCAAACAAAACATAGCCAGAGCCATCTTTGAAATCTTTTTTTGGAATTCTGGGCACTTTTTCAGGTTGACGGCAGAATATGGGATTCGGAACTATTCACCCAGCAGTTTATGAGTCATGCCATTTTGCACATCAGACCTGTGTTTGTTTTTGGTTTTTTCCTCTTATCTAGACTGACCTGTTTGTCCTACGAAGGTGGTTATTTTCATAGGATAGCATATATCTCACTGGAGAGTAAAGCAAGCAAATAACCTTCTGATAACATGACCATTGTATTAAAATGTTGCCTGAGACAGTTGCGGAGATGGTTGTTGTGTGGCTTACTCCCCAGGTTTGTGCAACAGTTCCATAGCCTGCTGTTGCTGGTGAGCAGCCAGTGTAAATTACAAGGCTTAACTGCATGTATTGTTGGCTTCCAGAGAAGTGCATTGGCCCTCAGTTTGAATCAGGATGGCTGCATGCAGCTGTGGGTGGTTTAAATATCTCCTGGGGGCCTATCTCTCCCTTTCTCACATGCATTGGGTGGGGGGGGGGTAAAAAGGACACCCTCCAGCAACCCCCAACAATCACCAATGAAGGTTTGTTTCTTTTGAGCCCCATGTGGGAGAAGGAATTAAGGAGGAATTAACCACTATACCATAGTGGCTCTTATATCCTAAACTTGCTGAATTAGCAGGGCAGAGCAAGCTCCAAGTGAGAAAACAGCCTGGCATCTGTGGAAGCTGCAGCCCACAATTGATTAAATCGCTCACAGTGAGTTGGAGTGTAGCTTCCAAAGCTGCTCAGTCGATCTTGTGGTGTTGGCAGGGTGGTGGTGGGGAACTGGAAGCTATAGACATGTCTAGTGAATCTGTTATATGATGGTAGTTACATGGCTGTTGCATATTTGCATAGTGGTGTCATAACCTGTAGACGTGAGAAAACCACAACCACAAAATCCTATATGAGAGCCAGTATGGTACAGTGGTCAGAGTGTTGGACTGGAGTTCAAGGATTTGGATTCTAGTCCTCACTTGGCCACAATACTGACTGGGTGACTTCGGGCCAGTCACAGACTCTCAGGCTACCTCACAGGGTTGTTGTGAAGTTAAATTTAAGAGGAGGGGGAGAATTATGTAAGTTGCCTTGTCATCCTTGAAGGAAAAAAGGCAGGAGGGCTGTGAGTGTGTGTGACAGAGTGAGAGAGAAATAAATAAAATAAATGTTCTGATGAATACAGGTTGGTGTTCATCTGCGTCATAACTACTTGCTTGCGAGGTAAGGCCTTTTTATTACTCCTACATAGCTTTATGGCATTTACATCTCCTCAAAAAGCACTTTGGTTCCCTCATTAACTAAATTGTGAATTAGCATGAACACATGAATTACATAGTGAAGAGGTCAGGTGACATACATCTGCAAATGTTTTCGTATGCTGATTTATTTGAATATGCAAATTTAAAAATGACTGCATGAATTTTTTTAAATTTTACAGGAGGTGAATCCAGTCAAAGAATTGCTCATCAGAAAAGTCTCAAAATATTAAATCAATTTACAGTCTGATCTGGGTCATCTCAAACCTATGGAAAAAGTCCTTTCTAAGTTTAATTGCCATGTAGGAAGATATTGAGGATTGGGTGGTAGGTTTGCAGCATTTGGGGATCCTTTGCTTCCCCACTGCAATTACACTTGAAAATGGTCTCCCTGGCAATTAAGGAAAGAACACCCAGAGCAATGCAGAATAGGGCCCTAGGAAACAGATTTGGCACTGAGCCCAAGTGAAGGCTGTCATGCAGAATATGGAGCAGAGTTGTTCTCTGTTGCTCCAGAGGACAAGGTTAGAACCAGTCACTGGAAGTTACAGGGAAGCAAATTCTTTTTCTTTTAGAAAAAACTTCTAAACAGTGGGAACTGTACAGCAGTGGAATAACTGCCTGGGGAGTTAGAATACTTTTGCTGGAGATACTTAAGCAAACATAGACGGTCCTCTCTCAGGAATGCTGCACCTGTGTTGCAAAGCCTGAATTGAGCAGGGACTCAACTAAATAATTTCCAGGGTACTTTCCAACTTCATGACTCTAATTTGCACTTTGTGAAACAGTGCATAAGCCAAAACACAGTAAGACTTGAATGTTCACGTCTCTCTGAATTTTGCCACAAGGTTCTCCAATCACTAAAAGGAAAGAATGCACACAGAAATGGTTGTATTAATGTGCATAGCGTACAAAACACATTGCATTTGGGAATAATACTTTTAAAATGTGTGCATTATGTAAATTTGGTACAAAAGTGCTCATATTAGGGGAACATAAAATGTTAAAAAATTCACAAACTGAGCCATCCATGCTGGGAGCTGTAGGATTTTTTATCTGTCTAAATATGCATAGAATTGCAGCCTAAAAGTTTATTAGCTAGCAGTCAAAATGATTTAGTTTCTTTTCATATCTGTAAATTTTCCCATTAGGCTGGTTCTGCTTGGTATCATAATTAGTTTAGTGAATGCTCATTTCAAGGTTTTGGCATTCAAAATTTAAAAACAAAAGAATTTATTAAGTATTCATCTATTCTAATAAGCTGGATGCTAATAAGCTTATATGGATGGATTATAGAAAACAATAGTAATTTAATTTCAGTGACAGTCCAGTAGTCTGGAAGCTACTTTGAACATTCACAAATATTGGAAGTTTGTATTAGCTCATGCTCCAATTTTTACTTCATGGAAATTGTTTGAGGTATTGAAATGAAGCAAAAGAGACAGGACCAGGTAAAAGTATATACAACTGTTTCTAGCTTGGATAATATGATAACACTACTGGGTGGTGGTGGGTTTTCCTCCAGGGAAATGTGTTGCTAAATGTAGTTAACCATTTACCAAGTGGTGACTCACCAAATGTGCTTATAATCACTCAGCAAACCAGACAGCATTATTGTCTTTCCAAGTACAGAGCAGATTCTTTTAACCCTCCTGTTGGATTTCTGATCAGATGCCAAAATGTCAGAGGGTCCTCTTGCACTTGGCAGGCCAAACCAAATGAATGGCTTACTGTTATCTGTTATTATTTGATAGATGTTCATCTATGGATTTGTTGGTGAAATTCACATTCAAACAGAGATGACATTTTTTCACTTGTTCTAAAGCCAACAAGAGTTTGTGTGGAGGAAAGCTAGAATTACCCTCTTGCTTCGTAATATTTTGTGTTGAATGTGATGAAAGTTATTTGCCTTCTATTTCCCTGGGGATCCAGTATTTCATCTTCATGTCACTTCTAGCTTATTCATTTATCAGTGTTACAGCTTTTCTCTAGGGACATGTTTTCCAGGACTAGCTTTACAGTTAAAAGTGCACACTCAACATTGTGGGCCATGACTATTGCAAAAACTACAGGAGCAAGTAATTTCTCTTTCATACTGTGCTGCTGTGAGTGTAATATTTTACCCTTTTATTTTAACTAGTGTCTTACTCTGTAATCTCCATCTCATATTTGGATTTACACATAGAACAAGCATGTAGAGGTCCAGTGCAGTAGTAATAAGTGGCTCTAAAGCCGACATTCCTGCACTGGGTAAAAGGTTAGAAGAGGCTTTATGTGTGCATACTATTGTGTTTGTGGAGGGTTTTCAACATGAGTTTTCACACTACATGTATGTAGTGTGCCTTGCAGAAGTATTCACCCCAGTTTGATATTTTCACATTTTGTTGCGTTACAACCTAGAGTTAAAATACATTTAATTAGCATTGTTATTACTTAATGTACAGAAGATGGTCTATATAGTGAAGATGCAAAATGTTTACTTTGGCAGATAAGTTAACAAAAACAAATGGGCCCTTCCTGGCTACATAGGTATTCACCCTTTTGCCCTAAATGAGCTCTGGTGGAACAACCCACTGCCTCCGGAAGTCCTGCGATGTAAGTCAAGTACTTCAATGGAGTCCACCTTTGTGTAATTTCAGTGCCAGATGATCTCATATTAAATGCACCTGTTTTTAGAAGGCCCAGAATTTGTTGGAGAGGATATCTAAACAACAGCTTCCTGTGGAGACCATGGACATTTCAAAACAACTCCAAGATAAAGTTGGGCAGAGGCACCAATTGTGGTTGGGTTATCAAGAGAAAACCAAACCAAACTCAGACCAAATAGGAACTTCCCTTGGAGCATCATCAGAAAATGGAAAGAATATGCGTCCATTGTGACTCTGCTTAAAGAAGACTGTCCACCAAAACTCAGTGACAAGGGTAAGGAGGACATCAGTCAGGGAAGCAACAAAGCAGTCACTGGCAATATTGAAGAAGCTGGAGAGAGCCATAAGCTGCAGTGTGCCCTTAGGACAGCTGTCACCCAGACTCTCCATAAAGCTGGCCCTTATGGAAGAATGGTAAGAAGAAAGGCATTACTTATGCAAACTAATATGAAAGCCTCTTTGGAATTTGTAAAAAGCATTGTGGGAGACACAGCAATCACAGGAAAAGTTTATCTGATCTAATGAGACTAAGACTTAACTTATGTGTGGCACAAAGCAACCGAAAGAGCACCCCCTCAGAGAGGCATGATGGTGGCAGCATCATGTTGTGAGTTCTTTTGCAGGGACTAGGAAACTGGGAAGGATTGATGGAGCCAAGGTGGATGGAGCCAAGTACAGATCAGTTCTAGAAGAAAACTTGTTTCAGTCAGCAAGGGACCAGGAATTGGAGCAAAGGATCACCTTCTACCATGACAGTAACCTCAGACTCACAGCCAGAGTAACACTGAAGTGGTTTAAAATTAAGAAACTGAATGTCTTAGAATGGCCTAGTCAAAGCTCAGACCTCAACCCAGTTGATAATCTGTAGCAAGACTTGAAAGTTGTTCATCAGTGGTTCCCAACCAACCTGACTGAGCTGGAGTAGCTATGCCAAGAAAAATCGAAAAACATTGCAGCATCCAGATGCACAAAACTTACATGGACTTACCCAAGAAGAGTTGCGGCTGTAATTGGTAAAAAGAGTGCTTTTACCAATTATTAATTTAGGGTGGTGAATACTCATGCAACCAAGAAGTGCCAGTTTGTTTTTGCTTGGTTAACATTTGCGCTGCAATAAGCATACTTTTCATCTTCATAGTGTTGAAGAGTATCTTTTACTTGTTTATCAGGTGGTAACAATATTTCATGGAATTCAAATGACATGGCAACCCATTGATGGTAGAATAACTCCTTCCAGGTTAGGTTGGCTTGTTGCCTTGAAACAAACTACCCTGTGGGAAATGGTTTGTGTTCACATGTCACAAAAACCCACCATGGCTTGTCACCCACACTGGGTTGTTGTGTCATGCAAACTCAGACTATATATATGAGAGAGAATTGCTTATAATGTTATGTTTTCTTGGGTTATCTGACATGATCAGTTCTGTAAGTACTCAGGAGTGATGCATTGATTTGGTATTGTAATGTCTCTGACTTGCTACACTCTGCATAAGAATGATAAAACTGGTGACAGTTGAGTAGATAACCCTGACTTGGGATAAGAGCATGAATACAGGAACATGCATATATATTCCACTCCCTCTGTCGCCATTTGCAGTAAGTTATACAGACACATATAACTTAATTCATTTATGTAAAAATCAAATGTTATGTTAGCTGTCTTGCTTGAGTACTTGGCAGAATAATAACCACAAAATAATGCTTATAATCCAATGTTAGTCTAACTTGTGCCATTCATTTTAATGGGTCTGCTCTAAGTAGGCATAACATTGGTACAACCAAATTCATTTGCTTTTATACTTTTTCTAGTTCCATCATGTGTCAAGCAATGTACGACTTATTTGATATGTATTTGCTTGCTATCCTTTCCATTTAACATGCCTCAAAGGCTATATTTCATGCTTACAAAGGAGGGTGGAGTGTGAGAAATAGAAGCTTATGCTGTTATTTTTAGGGATGACTCTCTTGCTCTCCATCCTTTTCCAGGGCTGTTCTTGGCTAACTTTCCCATGGATTTCTAACCTCTTGCTATGGTTCTCTTATGTAACAGGAAATAAGTTGACGGGAACAAATGCATTGCTAGCATATCAGTCGCAACCATAATAGCAGCTGATTTAGTTTACATTGCCTTCATTTTGCTAAGCAGATAGCATAGCATGAAAGAATTGTGAGACTTTCTGCCACCCTTTTCCTCCAAGAATCAACTACCATTCTACTCAGCAGAAAGCTGTAGAGTTAAACAGTGATGGAGATGTCTTTTTGTTAAGGTTAATAGTTTATGAGTGTAATGTCCTGGGATTGTGGGTTTAAGTATCTCTTCGCTTTCCCTCCAACTCTCAAGGCAGGAGTTATGTGCAAGCTGCAAGAACGAGAGGATATTGGACGTCTTGAACTTGTCCAGAAACTGGCAAGAGAAAACTGTCACCTTCTACAGACAGATAAAAAAGAACCAGACAAGATAGACCAGGTAGGACATTTTTTGGTTTGTGTTTTTTAAGGAAAATAAATTCACTGGATACAATCCAGAAAAATAAGTCATGACAAATTTCCAGCTGAATCAATTCATAGTACAAGCCTGTACCTGTCTACCTAGAGGTAAGTCCTTTCAATCTTAATGGAACTTAATGCTAGGTATGCATGTATAAGATGTCAGTCTTAGTTACAAATTTATTCTGAATGGGATGCAGTCATGACTACATTTTGCTGGATTCTGCTCTGTCTCTCATATTCTTTTCCTAGAAAATAAAAGTAAATGTAATTGCAGTTAAACCTACAAATAGTGTCACTAGTAATTGGCATAAAAAAGTAAATCAAAATCAATATAGGCAGTTAAAAATAATTAGTGTGTGGATTTTTTCAAAATATACTTGGAAATTCATTTCTTCTCCGTCTCATTAATTAATTATGCTTAATTTCCTAGGCTGCCAGGTGTAGAATTTACTGTATTGAACTGAATGAAAAAGTAGCATTACCTGATTGGTGTCCATTTTATCCCGTGGAACTTCTCAAATAGGTTAGGCAGAGAAAATGAGCAAAACAGAGAAGCTGTTGGGAAATTTAATTCATAGTAAATGCCATTCGTTTGTACAAGTTTGAGGCACAGGAGGTGATTTACTGTTTAAAAAATAGTTTTAAAAGTCTGTATACCTAATAAATCTAAAAGCAAGTGAAACAGAACAAACCCTCCATCACAAAACAACACAGTGGGCTGTTGGACCCCAGGAGTATATTTCATCCTAGTAAGCAATCTTGACACAGGAATTAACACTCTTGTAGTCTAAAATTACGACACTGATTTCTTTTTCATAATTTTGAGAAACACCACACCATTAGGCAGTTGGACTCTTCTAGAGTACAATGAGAATGATTGGGTACTTGCTATATTTTACTATGGAATGAAGCCAGACTGCTTATTGATGAAGAGGGCTCAACAGAGATTGTATGCCAATTCATCTTTCCTTCTTCAGCTCCTGGGACCCCAAAATCCTCGGGAAGGTGGTGGATACTTTGAAACAGTGTGGGAGGTGGCCTTGAAGATTGCTGGGAGAATCAGCAAAAATCATGTCCAATTGATCTCACTTTCGTTTGTGATTTGAAGGAATTATACCTATGCTTTTTGTGTTTGTGTTTTGCTTTCTGTTTTACATTCTAACCTTGGGCTTGCTGATAGCTCAGTTGAGGTGTGGTATAAAATATTTGGACATTAGGTACCCCAGTAATTACTTAGACATTACATACCCCAGTTTTTGCATTACTCTAAGTGTATCCAGAGTCAGATTGAAAAAACTTTTTTTTTTTTCCAGGTTAGGAGCATTTGAATCAGTTGCTAAAAACAGTTAGAATACCGTATTTTTCTGTGTGTAAGACACTACTTTTTCTTTAAAACATTTACTTAAAAATAAAGGTGTGTCTTATATATGGGGGGTGGCGTACAGGGGGGCGTGCGTGCAGGGTGGCAGTGAAGCGGCGTGGGGGGGCAGGGAGGTGGCGAAGTGGCACACATGTGGCAGCAGCTTGTTAGCTGGAGATGGGTAGGAAAAGTGGGGGGCGCCCTATACATGGGGGCGTCTCATAGATGGAAAAATACAGTAAGTGGATTTTACAGCCCTTCCATAGAGGAAGAAGGTCATTACTGAGCTTCAGGAGTAACTGCTTAAAAACAAGCTATTTATTTATGCTTTTGTGCTGCATGGATATATGGAGCAGAGCCTGATCTCAGTGTCATAACCAGTGCAGACCTTCATGCAGAAAGAGGCAGTCTTTAAACCAAACTTGGTATCTTCCAGATGCTTTGGACTACAGCCCTCAGTATTTCTGATCATTGACCATGCTGGCAAGGGCTGGTGGGAGTGTAAGTCCAAAAGATCTGGAGGTGTCTGGCTGGGGAAGGCTGCTAAAAATCATGTTGGTTTCCGTCCATGCTGGGCTGTATAAGAAAGTAATGCCTTTTTTAACTGGGCCCAGATGCTCATAGGCAGTGAATGCAGTTGCTGCAAAGGCATTTTACTATAGTCTCACTTTTATCAGGAGGCAAGTCATGGCATGCTACAGGAGCTGCACCATTGGAGATGCCCTGAAGGGCACTCATGTGCTTCCTTTTGTTTTTCCAGGAAAAATAAATGAGAACTCATGACCTTGGTTTATAGATTGATGCGAAAATTTGTTGTTTAGGATTTTTTAAAATGACAAATGAAAAAATAACCATGGAAAGTACCCAATTTAAACCCACAGCAAAGGAAAACCACATCTCGGGATGCTAGAAAATAAAATGTTTATTAAAGACCCCACAGTGTTTCAGAACTTTACATTGTGGGGCCACAAAATAAAAGTGGGCCAAAATGCACTGGCTATGTGAATTCTCTACTCCACACCCCTCTTGAGACCCTGATGTTGGGTTTTTGTTTTTGTGTTCGTAATATAATGTGTGGAAACCACATTTTCATCAACTGACATGTTAAAGGAACAGCATTTTGTCCTAAAAGTACTTATTCAGATGGCAACACTTTAACATGTATTTATGCCCTCACTTCCTTCTCTAGGAAAGTTGCTTTGTTTTTCTTTGAAAAAAGTGTGTGTTATGTTCTGTGGATTGGAAAATGTTTCTTTTAGCTGCATACGAATTTAGAATTCCCCAGAAACAAAAACAGAAAGTCTTTTTGAATTCTGGTATGTTGTATATATAAGGCACACCACTATTTTGTTTAGCCCTCAGTCTGATCCTTTGGAATTTTTGTGACAAGCTGGAAAAATAGCTGTATAAACGAAGTGTTTGGCCTTTACTGAACAAAAACAGGAAATGAAAGCTTATTTGAGTGCAGGGCTGGCCCTCCCATCAAGTGTCAGAGAAGCTGAGGCATCAGAGCAGGATGAGTGCAAATTACGCGCTCCTCCCTAACAGGTGGTGCTGGGAGGGTGCCCAGGGAGCTTCCTGTTGGCCAGTCTCCCACTGGAGCATCTGCCTCATCAGGAAAGTAGAGCCAGTGGAGCTCTGTGGAGCAGCTGTCCAGCCTGGCGCCTATAATAGCTGGTGCTCCAGAGAGGCCCAGGGACACCACTCCCCTGCCGCAGCCTGTTCCACAGTGGGAGAGCAGCAAGTGCGGCTTTCCAGAGCAACCGCCCACCCTCTTTTTGCCCTGAGAGTCTTCTGAGGACAGTCCCAAAGGCGAGTGGGCGGGCAGGCAGGCAGTCTGGTGATGCACCACAAAAATAATCAATACATAATAATAATATTAGTATCCCTAATAATTTAAATAGCAGCTAGCACAGCTTAGCCAAGACTGTATGCCTGCCTCTGGCAGTTATTTCACAAAGCTTGGGACGGCAGGCTTTTATATTTTATATTCTTATTTATTTTATATTGTTAATTTTAATTTTATATTGTTATTTTTGTATTTTATTGTATTTTATTGTGTTTGTAAGCCGTCCCGAGGCTTCGGCAAGGGGCGGCATAGAAATGTTCTAATAATAATAATAATAATAATAATAATAATAATAATAATATAATAGCCCTGGAGATCACCTGTGCCACGGTGCTGAGAAGAGGAAAGACCCTGCAGAGCCTTGCTTTTGGGCCTGGCCATTTTTCTGCAGAGATGCTGCTGCATTGTACAGCTGACACAGGAAAAACTGTGCTGGCAGTGGAAATGGGGAGTTATACGGAGACAGGAGCCATGGAGGTGCACAAAGTGATGCATAGTCAGGTGAGGCAAGTAATTTTTGCATGTGGCAGGGAGCCACAGAAGCCCAGTGTGCGGCCTTGCACCCCACCTCACACATCCATATAAGATGATGGGTAAAAAGCCAGGTCGGGTACTTTTAAGATAACTGAGCCATTCAAGCTTTTTCCGATTGTATAATTTGTAACGCCTGCAGTGTCATCAGCAATGCTCTTCTTAATTTCAATATTTGTTAACTCCAGCAAAAATGCAGATATGTAAAGAACTATAGGCTTCTTAGCTAATGATGCATCATACTATTTCACAGCTATCTCATCTGTCCTTGTATCATATGTGCTATCACATCTCGGGTTTGGGAGTGTCAAAACTACCCTTGGATTTGCTATGCCAGCATGGACCATAGTAGCAAAAGGCAAGTTCCTGACAAATTTCACGGTTGTGGAGAAAATACTGACATTGCATAAAGAGTGGTGGTGAAGATCCAGACTCTAAGGCAAGCTCTGTTGCAACTGGGCAATGGGCTCTTGCACTGCTACCCCTTCCTGCATATCTGTCCTTTGACAAAAATAAGACACCGGCAGCCCAAATGGATTGGGCATTTACACATACCAGAATTTTGACAGCCTGATATACATGCTCTGTTGGGATGCACTGAAGCCACCATATGGTAATCCTGCCATCTTGGTTCATATGGTAAACAGGTTGTCTAAATGAACCTCTGAGTATAATGGCTGGGATGCTGGAGGGGACACATCTTACTTTGGCATGGAAAATATCCTCTATTAATGCATTAAGACTCCTTCTAGCAAACAGTTAACCATGAAAACTGATGTGAAACACATCTAAAAGGAATATGCTAAGCTTTGGAAACAGAATAATTCATGCACTATAAGCATATGCATACACATTTACTTAATTAATTGACATTAATCAGTCTGGTTTTCGAATCTGAACTTCTTTGTCTCAGCATTCACGTGTGATTGGAACAGAATGGAACCTTGACCACAAGTGTTTTATTAATCTTGAATTCAGTATCACACATGTAGAATAATTTGGGTCTGAATATGTCAAAAGGAGGACAGGGTTTAGTTTTCTATAAGTTGCAAATTTTCCATGTGGTGTCAATGTTTTAAGGTAATCTAAGAAGTCTCTAAAGATGGATGGCTTAATATGTTTGGTTTTGTTTGCTCCACCTTCCATACCATAAATTGTACAACACCTTTAAGATTCTGCCCTAGGCTGGAGATGTATGAAACTCTGCCACTCCAAATATAATTGCGGGAAACAGTGT